CACGACTACCACAGCCTCCACCAGACTGAGTCCAGCACAACTAGATGGTGCCCGGCTACCACCACTGACTGCTCTGACAGGGATCACAATAGAGGGTCCTGGACAGAGCTGGAAAAAAATGTGGAACAAACTTCTACCTCACAGAAAAAGACCAGACTTACTGGTCTGACAGAGACTACAGGAACCCCGAGTGTATGGCCCCTGGACACTCTTTTAACTCGGTACTGAAGTCACTCCTGAGGTTCACCCTTCAGCCAAAGATTAGACAAGCCCATAAAACAAAACGAGACTAAATGAGCACACCAGCCCAGGGGCAGAGCGGAGAAGGCAGGAGGGGACAGGAAATCTGGACGAATTGAAATGGGGAACCCAAGGCTGAGAAGGGGAGAGTGTTGACACGTCATGGGTTTGGCAACCAATGTCACAAAATAATATGTGTATTAATTGTTTAATAAGAAACTAATTTGCTCTGTAAACCTTCATCTAAAGCACAATAAAAAATAAGAATTTTTTAAAAATAGAATAACTTATCGCTCTAGTAGTATCAGCAATTATATGAACTTATATTTAGATACTATCAAAAGTACTTTTTCCACTTAAATTTTAACCAAGGCCTGTAAAGTAGGCAAAGCTGGCAATATTATCCCTAATATCAAAATATGGAATCTAAAATAAAGCTCACAGAGTTAAGGTGACTTTGTCCAATGTCACATCATTGGTAAGTAGCAGAATTTGGACTGGAATTTGATTATTTTGATTATGTGAGTGAGCTAAAAAGCAGATTGTCCCTTGCTCAAGCTTTCAGGTGAGACTGCAGTCCCAGCTGACACCCTGATTGCAACTTTGTTGAGAGACCTTGAACCAGAGGCACCCAGCTAAGCCACTCCCAGATTCCTGAACCACAGAAACTGAGAGAGAATAAATGTTTGTTGTTTCAAGCCACTAAGTTTTGGAATAATTTGCTATGCAGCAATAGATAGCTAATAGTCATTATAGATTTTGTCTGTTCTAAAATTTCACATCATGGAAATAATACAGTATATACTCTTGTGTCCAGCATCTTTCACTCAGCATAGTGCTTCTGAGATTCATCCATGTTGCTGTGTATACTGTGTTAGTCTGTAGTATTCCATTGTATGGTTATGCCACAATTTATTTATCAATTCAACGCTTGGTGGACATTAGGTTGTTTCCAGTTCTCAGCTATTGTGAATGAAGATGCTTAAACATTCATGTATATCTTATTTGGACATAGGTTTTTATTTCTCTTGAGTAAATACCTAGGAATAGAGTTGCTGGGTCATATGGTAAGTATATTTTCAATTTTATAAGTAACTGACCAGTTGTTTTTCATAGTGATTAGAAAATCTTACATTCCACCAGCAATATATGAATTTTTCTTGCTCTTCATCCTCACCAACACTTGGTATTGTCAAGCTTTTAAAATTTTAGCTATTTTAGTGGGTGTGTAGTGATATCTCACTGTGGTTTAATGTGCATTTCCCTGATGACTAATGGTATTGAACATCTTTCAATGTACTTGCTTATTGACTATTCATCTGTCTTGTTTGGACAAAAGTCTGTTCTGATCTTCGCCTATTTTTTATTGGGTTATCTTACTATTAAGTTGAGAGTTCTTTATATATTCTGGATGCAAGCCTCTTATAAGATAAATGACTTGCAAATATTTTCTCCCATCTTGTGAGTTGTCGTTTCACTTTCTTGATGGTGTTCTTTAAAACACAAAATGTTTTAATTCTGATGATGTTCAATTTATTTTTCATCAGAAATATGTACTGCAAACATTTCCCCCCGGTCTGTGTCTTATGTTTTCATTTTCTTAACAAAGAGCTAAAGATTTTAATTTTGGTTAAGTCCAGCTTATCAAGGTTTTCTTTTATGGCTAATGTTTTTTGGGTTATCAGAAAGGCAAAACTTTTCTGATATTTTCTCCTGTTTTTTCCCACAAGTTTTATAGTTTTAGCTTTTACAATTAGGTCCTATTACCCATTTCAAGTTATTATTATTATTATTGGCATAGTGAGAGTCAAGGGTAGAGGGTTGTTTTTCCTTTTCATCATTTATTGAAAAGATTATCCCTTTCCCCATTGAACTACCTTGGCATCTTTGTTGAAAATCAATTTGTGGTCTCCTTATGAACTAGATTCTTCCCCCTTAATCTATATGTCTTTCTACTACCACACTGTATTGATTACTATAGCTTTCTAGTTACATCATGAAATCAGGTAGTATAAGTCCTCCGTTCTGGTGTCTTTTTGGATTTTCTCTTTCCTTGATGATGTACAGTTTTACTATAATGGGATTATTTGTAGACTTTACATTTTTTATTCAGCCTTCATTTTCATGCTAAGAATTCATCTTTCTTCATCTCTGGAAATATTTCAGCCACTATCTCTTCAAATATTGCCTCTCTGCCATACCTGATACTCTCTCCTTCTGGAACTCCTATATTGGAGCTTCTCACTCTATGTCCCTGTCTCTTTATTTCTTCCTCTTTGTCCAAGTCTTTTAGCTCTCTGGACTTTATTCTGGGAAATTTCCTTTACTCTAGCCCCAATTCCCTAAATCTTCAAGCCTAATCTACTGTTTGGTCCATTACTGAGTTTTTAATTTACATTTCTAAGATTTCTACTTGGTTATTTTTCCTATTTGCCTATTGTTTCTATTTTCTCCTATTTCTAATCTATGAGTGCTCTTCGTTTAGCTCTTTGATCTTAATATCAAACAATTAAAGTCCATTTTGTTTATATTTGTTTAACACTATTGTTCAACAAACGGTTATTGAGTACCTCCTATGTGCCAGGCACTGGGATTTAGCAGTGAACAAGTTAGCAACTCTGCTTCCACTGAGGGTACATTCTAGGGGAAGCCACCATCAGAGAACCAACAAATCATAAATGTTTTGAAATTGCTCTATTTTTGCTGGATTCTCCAGTTGGAACTCTCTCGTATTGGGCCTGAGAAGTGTCTTTTGTGACACTCCACGAACGTTTTTGTAATCCTTTTCTGAAGTTATCATTAGTGAAAATGTTCTGCTGTATATGCCAACTATGAGGATGATGCAGGACCAGGTGGTGTTTCGTACATCTCATTGCCACAAGTCGGAACTGACTTGATAGCACCTAACAAAAATAAAGTATATTCTCTTGGTATGAAAGCCTCTTTTATGGGGAGGTTTCCACTTTCTCTGCCTAAACCCTAAGGATTCACTGGTTCTGAACCACTTTTTCTTATTTCTGTTTAGGACACCTACCCAATGCAGGCAGTTCAAGTCTGGGTTCTTGCCTTTATAGCTCAGGGACTCTATTTCACTCATGGCTTGTGGCAGGTAGCTTTTTCTGACCTCTATCCTGTGCCAACCAAAAAACCAAACCCATTGCTGTAGAGTCGATTCCGACTCATAGCGACCCTACAGGACAGAGCAGAACTGCCCCATGGGGTTTCCAAGAAGCAGCTGGTGGATTTGAACTGCCGACCTTTTGGTTAGCAGCCAAGCTCTTAACCACTGCATCACCAGGGCTCCCTATCCTGGGCCAGTGATGGAAATATTCAGGTTCCCATTCAAGGATGAGTATTGTTAGGGGAGCTCAGACCCAGCTCCCTACCAAGCATGGAGGCTGCAGCCTCACACACCCCTACCCACATCCAGCCCAAGTCCCCGTGGCTTTGGCTTTTCTCTCCATTTGTGGCACCTGGAGATTTTCCTTTTTTGCTTTCAAGCTGGACTGTGTACTTTTAAATGTTATCTAATATCCCTGTGTGTTTAGAGCAAAAAGACAGGGAAGAGGGTATTTAGCATGTGCTCAGTCCGGTCTTAACTCAGAAGTTCTTCAGCATTAGTGAATGCAAACATTGCCAGTGCTGTGTTCAGTGATAATTTAAAAAACTGGTTTTTTTTTGTTTTTTTTTTTTTTTTAAGATTTCAGCTGTTGTATCCTTTTCAAAAAGCCAATTCCATAAAGCTAAAGAATAGTTTGGATTACTTTTCTTGTCATCTACCATTACTGTTGATTGAATAGAGGTCTATAGTTTACCAAGCACTTAAAATAGGTGCATGTTACGTACACGTATTTCCGTATCAAAGTAAGATGCTTAAGAATAAAGAATAACTGATTGCATGATGGCAACTCTATTAGTTTATATTGTCACTATCTTTCTCCCACTAATTTAAATGTAATGGTTCATATGTAATAACGAAGAATGACCACGAACGTGTATTTTTAAATGGCCTGGGGAATTAAAACTTTCATCTTTTGGCTAATGCCTAAAATTCCAGAGAGAGCTCTACTCTTCAGTTTAAGGATTTACTTAATCAGTTTACTAATTAAGGATTTAATTAGTAAAATATAGACTATGCACGGAGAGTTTCTCTTTGGGCCTGAATAATAAGTATTTTATACTGTATCTACCCACAATTGGAAGCCCTGGCGGTGTAGTGGTTAAGTGCTAGGGCTGCTATCCGAAAGTTTGGCAGTTTGAATCCACCAGGTGGCCTGCTCCTTGGAAACGCTATAGGGCAGTTCTACTCTGTCCTATAGGATCGCTATGAGTTGGAATTGACTCGACGGCAACAGGTTTGGTTTGTTTTTTTTTTAATCCAAAATTGGGTATACTGTATTTACCCCAAATCCACTTTGGGTAAAGAAGAAGTTAGGCAAAGAAGATAGAGACAGGAAAAGAAGGAAGGTCTCCTGTAAAGGAAGCTCATGTAAAACACAAACAAAACACTTGATCGTTTTGCCTCTGATCAACAGACCCGTTCATAGTAGACCAAATAAGTATATGCACAATTTAGTATTTTATGTTTATTTCTTGACCTTCTTAGATTGTAAATACTTTGGAGAAGTGCTTTTTCTTTTTAACTTTAAAGAGGTCATGCTTGCGAGTGTATATTACACACTAAATGATTTTCTAATATTCTATTTTCTATACCCACAGTTATCTTAATTTCTATTTTCATGCACTTGTTTGTTGCAGAGATTAAATAATTTCATACATTTAAAGCATTTATAACACTACTCAGCATACAGTAAATGCTCAATACTATTATTATGATTGATGCTGTTGTTCTCTGCTGCTTTGATCTCACCAATTGTTGCTGTTGTTAGTTGCCGTCAAGTGGATTCCAACTCATGGTGACCCCATGGGTACAGAACTGCTCCAAAGGGTTTGCAAGGCTGTGACCTATCGGAAGCAGATTGCAAGGCCTGTCTTCTGAGGTGCTTGTGGGTGGGTCCAAACCAACCTTCCAGCTAGTAGTTGAGCACTTAACCATTTGTGCCATCTCCGCTACCCACTCCAATAGGTTCACCTTCCTCTTTCCGGGCAATTCTGCCTCCTCTTTAAATCTGGCTTGTTTTCTGTTTGTCTCCTTACATAGTCTCACTGTTACCTGGCCCTACTTGAATTCCTTCTTTTGTTCTCTAACATGTTCCCTTCAAGAGTAAATCTAAACCTTTTCCTTTCTTCTGAGCAGATGACTCAACTACTTATAAAGATTCAGTTTCTCTATCCAAAATCCCCTACTCTTTTCTTCTTTCCAGGTTCATTTCTTGCAATCACATTCTTTTTCAAATATCTACTCTTCCTTCCTGCCTCAAAGGAAACGGCATTTCTTCTATGGCTAGCCACTCCATCTCTATTTTTTATTCCAATCGCCAGCTGAGATTAGGCCCAGCTGCACCCAAGAGAAAATTATCAAGTAACATTGTCTTTTAAAAACATAGGTATTTCTCTCAGGTGAAAAATCTGAAAGTAGGCGGTTTGGGGCTGATACAGCAGCTCCAGGAGCTGGCAGGGACCCATGTTCCTTCTTCCTCACTGCTGTCATCCCTAAAGTCTCTCATGGTGTAAAATGGCTGCCTGAAAACCAGCAAACACAATTTTCCAGCAGTAAAATGAAGCTAAAGGCAGCAAGAAGACCGCCTCTATTTTAAGACTTCCCTGAATAATTACACACTTAATTTATATTAATTGGCCAAACCTAGTGATTTAGCCACATCTAGTTGCAAGAGGGACTATAAAAGAACTATTTAGCTGAGTGGCAGTGTTGCTGTCGTCGTTGAGTTAGCACCCAATTCATGGCGACCTCACCTACAACAGAATGAAATGCTGCCTGGTCCTGCACCATCTTCACAATCATTGGTATGCTTGAGTTCATTGTTGCAGCCATTGTGTATTTTGAGTGCCTTTCAAACCTAGGGGGCTCATCTTCCAGCACCGCATCCGAAAATATTCTGTCATGATCCATGAGGTTTTCACTGGCTAATTTTCAGAAGTAGATGGGCAGGCCTTTCTTTCTAGTCTGTAAACTCCATTGTAGCCCATCCACCATGGGTTATTCTTCTGGTATTTGAAATATCGGTGGCATAGCTTCCAGCTCATATCAACATGCAAGCCACCACAGTATGACAAACTGACAGACGGGTGGTGGGGGTGGCTGCGTGCCCACTTAAAAAAATCTGTGTTCTGTTACTTTAAGAAAGAAAAATTTTGTTTTCTATTACTAAAAAAGGAGGAGAAAATAGATCTAGTAAAGCACTCATCCTTTCTCACCTCTAAGAATAAATTCTGTTTACTTACTTCTTCAGTCTCTTTATACTCCCCTCAAACATGTACTACCTCTCCCTTTCATCCTAACAGAAAGCTTGATTCTGGTCATTCTCTTCCTTTCACTGAAAATTTTATCTTTCTTCTTTACAATTTCTTTCACATTTCTTCCTTTTTCTTATTCCCGGTCTCTACTCATTATCTCACCTTTAGACTCTACAGCTTCCAACTAATCTCCGAGAACTTAATATAAAGCTCTTTACACCAAGAATTAAATTTTATTTATATTTAACTAGACAAATAATACACTAATGCATTATTGTTTTTAAAAAAGTATTATAAATAATACAAAAATCTCCCCTAGCCACACCCATGGCCACATTAAAACCTTTAGAATTACTGAACAAATGAGAAGACTGATTGAGAAAGAAGCCGAAGATGCGATTTGCCACTTCGCCTTGTCACTGAGGGTTTTGTCTACCTCACGAAGGTCCCTTGAGACAAAAAGTTCTTTTAACGTCTACAGCACTGCAGAAAAGGCTAAAATAAACCAGTAACCTTGACGATCTCAATCTCTCACCGCCCCGGCCCTCCCCAGCGGGGGAAGCAGGAACTCTCGCGAGTCCCGGCATCTGCGCGAAAAACTACAGCACCGCACTTCTCTGACGCATTTCCGTAGCGCCGGAGCAAAGGGAAGTCGTGGTGGCTGCCGGGGACCAGCCGCCGAGAAGATGGTGCTCACCCGGTCGGCGCGGCCTCAGGCCAGGATCCAAGCCACGTCAGCTGAAAGATCCCAGCAGAAAGTAGGAAATCGCCAGTTTCCCCTTTTTCTCCTCGCCCCTTCGTAGAGCGGCCCTCAGAGAGGTGGGGTTGCGCAAGGAGGTGCCAGGGTCCCGCGGAGCGTGAGGACGGCGGGCGTGGAGGGCCGAACTTGCCGCGCGCTCCTGTGTACCAAACCCCACGCTAAGCGCTTTACCGGTAGTGTCGTTTAGTTCTCACTACCGTCTTTTAAGGCAGTTCTTACTATGAAACAGCTTAAGTAATTTGTTTCGGGTTGTTCAGCTGAGGAATGCGTAGGCAAAGCTCAGGCCTTTTAATCTTAACACCAAAACCAAAAATCAGACCCATTGCCGTCGAGTCGATTGCGACTCATAGTGACCCCATAGGAAGAGTAGAAATAAATGCCCCATAGGGTTTCCAAGGAGTGGCTGGTGGGTTCGAACTGCTGACTTTTTGATGAGCAGTCGCGCTCTTAACCACTGCGCCACCAGTGTTCCAAGGAAGGTTAATTTCGGCCACCATGCGCGAGCATAATATAGGGGATAGGAGAGAAAGCCACCATTTTCACCTGAGAAGGCCGGAGATGGCTTCGCACCGTTCTTTAAGGCGTAGGGAGGGCCGCAGTGACGTGGTCTGTGGCTTTCAGTGGTGCTAGTCGTCCGCTGCCTCTTGATTTTGCGGGGAAGGAAATGGAGCATCAGTTCGCTCGCGTATGTGAAAGCAAGGGCAACGACTGACACCATTGATGTGTTCCTAAACACGTTTTTGCTCAGACAGCATTAGTCCTTCCTTCTCCCCTCACCCCCTGTATGTGCGTTAGGATGTAAGCCCAGCTAGCATATTTGACTTTGAGTAGAGAAAATTCTCCTTTTTGAATTGTTTTGCCTCCTTTAGTCAGGACCAGGACTAGGGTGAGGAGAGTGAGGCAGGGTCCTGAAAATGCAGGGTCAGATCCAGTCTTTAAAATTTTAATTAATATCATAGATTTTTTGCATTCATTTTGATTTCTTTAAAAAAAAAAAAAAGTTGCCGATGAGTGGATTCTGACTCATAGAAACCCTATAGGACAGAGTAGAACTGCCCCGTAGGGTTGCCAGGGAGTGAACTGCCAGCCTTTTGGTTAGCAGTCAAGCTCTTAACTACTGCACCACCAGGGCTCCTCTTAAAACATGGCATTAAAAGATTAGATTTATCTTGATTCCTGAGTTTTTTAGCGACCTCTTAAATTTTGCTCTTGAGGGGAGTACTTCACTCACTTTGCCCTAGTCCCAGCTTTATCTAAATTAGGGTGCTTTTTCTTGCCTGCAGAATTCTGCTGCTGATGGAATTAAAGAGTGTCCAGAAAGCAGGAAGGAGTCTCAATCTGATGACCGAAGTACTGCTGAATCGCATACCACTTGGGAACATAGTCCAGTCCCTAGAACTCCTAAAACCAGAAAGAGGAAAAGCAGAATTGAAGGCTCCTTACCAGAGATGATTGAACCATCTGCTGATGGAGAGACTTCTGAAGCAGAATCAAATTGTTCTTCTGTGTCTGAGCTCCAGGATCCCATTGTAAGAGTAACTAGGAGAAGGCAGATCTTAGTTTCACGCACCCCAGTGTCCAGTGTGAGGAAAAGGCTGAAAATAACTCCAATAAGTGAGTCTCACAGTGAAGAAGAAGTCTCTGAAGCAGAATCTCATGTTTCAGGTATTTCTACATTTGTGCCTTCCACAGTAATAACTACAAGAGCCAGAAGAAGGGAGGCTAAACCAAGCCAGGAATCACATGCAGAAGATATTTCTGATGCTGAGTCATCATGCTCAGACATTTCTTCATTTTCGGGAATTGCAGTTAGGAGAGCAACCAGGAGTATGCACAGGAAATTACAGGCACAAACTGAGGAGAAGGATACTAAGATTATACTAGGAAAGGAAAAGTGGAACTGTAAAGGTTTAGATGAAAAGGCCAAAGGAATAATAAATAAGGGAAAAGAAATTAATGATAAAAGTTCTCAGTTAAACAGTCTTTCTGAGCTTCAGGACGCTAGCCTTCAGCAATTAGTTTCTCAAAAGCATTCAACTCCCCAGAGTAATAAAACCACACGAGAACCCTCAAATCTGAACTATGAGGCTGTAATGAAATCATTAGCTCAAACATTTGCAGTTGTGGAAGTGGACAGATGGGATGAAGAGAGAAAGAGCACCATAAAAACAAGTGACTCGACACAGTTTGGTGATGATGAAGAGTGCACAATTATAAGTGTCAGCAAAGACATGAATAATAAAAAGAATGTAAATCTTGAATGTGATACCACACTATGCAACCCTGAGCTCAACACATCTCAGGATAAAGGTGATTCTGTTTTATTAGTTCTCAGCAGTGATGAAAGCCAACAGTCTGAAAACAGTGAGAATGAAGAAGACACCGTATGTTTCGTTGAAAATAGTGGTCGAAGGGAGTCATCGAATGGAGACTTGGGAAATATGTCATGTGACACTGCATTGTTTGTAATTGACACAACTCCTGGACTGAGTGCTGATAAAAATTTTTACTTGGAAGAGGAAGACAAAGCTAGTGAGGCTGCCACTGAGGAAGAAAAAGAAGAGGGAGAGGATGAAAAAAGTGAAGAACCATCAGACCATGATGTAAATAAAGATAATGAGCTCAGTGATGAAGAAGACTTATTAAATAGCACAAAGTCTAAACTGTAAGTTTTACCCTTATTTTTAAAAGTAAAATTTTGATGCATATTTCAAGTGGCTAATTTACCATAAAAATATAAAATATTAGAAATGGAAATTGAGGAGAAAACGACTGCCTTAGGTTCTTTACGGCCAAGTCCTACCCAGTATTTCCCCTGTCTCTGTGGGTGCCTTTGTTAGTATTTTTTTCCCACCAGTGATAGCTCAAAGTATATCTTTTTGGTGATATATTAGAAATTATCTGATTACAAAGTTTTCTTCACGATTGTCAAGAGCAACGTAAAAGGAAACTGAAAAACCAGGTGCCATCATGTTGATTCTGACTCATGACGACTCCACGTGTCAGAGTAGAACTGCACTCCGTAGGGTTTTCAATGGCTGTAATCTTTCAGAAGGAGCCCTGGTGGTGCAGTGGTTAAAGCACTCAGTTGCTAACCAAAAAGTCAGTGGTTGGAACCCACCAGCCTCTCCACGGGAGAAAGACGTGGCAGTCTGCTTCCATAAAGATTACAGCCTTGGAAACCCTGTGGGCTTATGGGTCAGAATTGACTTGACGGCAGTGGGTTTGGTTTGGTGATCTTTCAGAAGTAGATCTCCAGGCCATTCTTTTGAGGCACCTGTAGGTAGACTTGAACTGCCAGCCTTTCTGGTAGTAACCGAATGCTTAACCATTTGCACCAGCCATGAACTCCACATGAAAGGGAAAGTAATTTATGTTTTGTACATGTTGAGTGTAGAGAAACTGAAAAGAAATACAGAAAAGCATGAGGAAATTAATCGCTTATAATCATATCATCCATTGAAAAGCACTAATTTTTGAGGGTAATTCTTCAGTTTTTGAGTTTTAAAGTTGTTTTTCCTAGGCGCAGGTTCCTCGTGGCAATGTTTCCACTGGAAACATAGGCAGCCTTGAAAGGAACTATACATTAACAGATGCCAAGTCTTCACTATAAACCAGTGAAATCAATCTCTGAGGCTAGGTTCAGGTATACTTATTTTTTAAAAGCTACACCCTTCCCCAGGTTCATTCTGAAGTACATTCAGGATTGAGAATCAACTGCCAAGGCACTGCAGTAAAATGATTTCGCTTCCAATAGGGGCTGATTGTCTACATTTTCAGCTGCTCTGTTTATATGAATAATTAGGGGAAAACATGACTGTAGGTCCAAGTGAACTTGCTTATATTAAGAATTGTATTAAAAAGGACTCTTTGGTAATATAAGGTAGAAATTCTCATTACATAATAGAGCAGGAGACCAGGCAACTGCAAAAGATTCTGATTTGGTACATCTGGGGTATGACATTTGTATTTTGAAAAAGCTCCAATGGTAAACATGAATATTCATCGCTGTTTAAGATTCAGGTTTAGAGACACTGTCAAATGCTCTTTGTTAACCAGAAAAACAGTCTACATTTGAATGTCTTGGAAGTTCAGAGTAGAAGAAACTGTCTTTCTCCTTGATTTTAGAGATGGTGATATGTACGTTTATTAATTCACTGTCTACAGTTGAAGTTGAGCCAAATTACTAGATGCCTATTTTCTGTAATTCTTTATTGAATCTGTTGACATGTTATATGGCCTTACTCCTCTTCAAGAAATCTGCAGAATAAATTTGGATGTGTTTCTGAGAAGCTTTTTTGCTTAATGTATTATTCATTCCAGAGTTTCTTCTAAGTGACTTTACTAGTAGATTTAAAATAGATTTGTACAGTTTTTCAGGAACTCATCCATTGTAAAAATAAGATACTTTTTTTTTTTTTTTTGATCATGGCAGTTAAAGGAAAGAAAAGAAGTGATTTTATAATATAGTCTTAATTGTTCCCTTTTGATTTAACTACTTGATCTTTAAATGGCAAATTCTCTTTCAGTCTGAAGTTGACAAGCAGCAGCATAGACCCTGGTCTGAGTATTAAAGAATTGGGTGGTTTATATATTAATTTCAATGCAGACAAACTACAGTCTAACAAGAGAACCCTAACACAGATCAAGGAGAAAACAAAAAACGACGTAAGTTACATGAAATGTCCTGTTATGTTTTCATAGAACTAGCTAATCCTAGAAATGATTCATCTTTGATAAAAGCCTAATTTCCTGTAGGTGAAACATTAGCCTAATGTGCTCTTCCCCCCCTCTCCAATATTTGTATATTTATGTATATTTATAAGGTCTAATCTATAAAAGATGACTTGAAGAATAACGTAATATAGGGTCAGTGTTCTCTTCTTACCCACCAATTATGATCCCAGGCGTTTGTTTCTTCTCTTTTCTTGCTGTACTTTAGTTCTTAACTGTTCTAGACCCTGTTGAGAATCTGAAATCTGTTGAGTGCCCAACCCCACAACCAGAAAAAAATGCATATGTGAATGTGGACACAACATTTACATACAATTTCAGAAGGAATTACTGTCAGGGTAACCTCATCCAAACCCTCAGCTTCAGCCACCACTTTTATACTGCTTTCTCTCAAATCTGTATTTTCTAGCCTTGGTGCCTCTTAACTTTAGGTCTTTAAATCCAGGTGCCTATTGTCTGTTCAGGGAGTCCCTGGGTGGCGCATACGGTTAAGCGCTCAGCTACCAACCAGCTATCCCAAAGGTTGAAGTCGATCTCTGTATGAATTGATGTTGAAAGCATCTAAGATATGTTCTTGAGTTGGAAAGAGCAGATGCAGATTAGGATGTATAAACCAAAAACCAAACCCACTGCTGTTGAATCGATTCCGACTCATAACAACCCTACTGGACAGAGTAGAACTGCTTCATAGGGTTTCCTAGGCTGTAATCTTTAAGGGTGCAGATTACCACACCTTTCCCGCAGAGCAGCTGGTGGGTTCGAACCACGAACCTTTCCATTAGCAGCAGAGCGCTTAATCACTGTGCCACTATAAAAAGTATGTGTCCTTTAATCAGAATTTATATTGCTTTTCTCATTCTATTAATCAATGGTCTACCTAGTCTCCTTAGACCACAGGAAGTTGTTTAACCAACATGAAAAGAACTTAACCATCAAAGACAGTACACATTACTGGGGAGGTCAGCACAACTTAACCAAGGCAAAATAGAAGCTTCATAGACACATCCAGACTCCCTGAGGGACCAAATGACTGGGCTGAGGGGTGGAGACCATGGTCTCAGGGAACATCTAGCTCAATTGACATAACACAGTTTATAAAGAAAACGTTCTACATCCTACTTTGGTGAGTAGCATCTGGGGTCTTAAAAGCTTGTGAGCAGCCATCTAAGATACATCTATTGGCCCCACCCAATCTGGAGCAAGGAAAAATGAAGAAAATCAAAGATGCAAGGGAAGGATTAGTCCAAAGGACCCATAGACCACAGCTACCACAGCCTCTAGCAGACTGAGTCCAACACAACTAGATGGTGCCCGGCTACCACGACTGACTCCTGTGACAAGGATCACGATAGAAGGTCCCAAACAGAGCTGGAGAAAAATGCAGAACAAAAGTCAAACTCACAAAAAATGACCAAACTTACTGGTCTGACAGAGACTGGAGAAACTCCGAGAGTATGGCCCCCAGACACCCTTTTAGCTCAGTAATGAAGTCATTCCCAAGGTTCACCCTTCAGTCAAAGATTAAACAGGCCCATAAAACAAACAGTAATACACATAGCTCAGCAAGACTAAATGAGCACACCAGCTTAGGGCAAGGATGAGAGGGCAGGAGGGGACAGGAAAGCTGGATGAATGGAAATGGGGAACCCAAGTTCAAGAAGGGGAGAGTGTTGACGCATCACGGGGTTGGCAACCAGTGTCACAAAACTCTGTATTAACTGTTTAATGAGAAACTAATTTGCTTTGTAAACCTTCATCGAAAGCACAATAAAAAATAATTTTTTGTGTGACAGAAAAGAACTTACCATTAAAGACTAGTTGGGTTTTTTTTTTCTTTCAGGGACTTCAAGGGCTTTTGTAACATTGTTCCTATTGTCTCTATTTTCCAGTAGTTTGGTGCAGGTGGCCAGTTGCAGAGAATAAGTAGAAGTGGACATATTAATGTAAATCCGATTGTACAGATTCAGATCAGAAAAGGGGATTTGAGATAGGTATCTACTTTATTGTAGATTCTCTAAAATAATCCTTTATATTGCCTCCTAAAACATTTTTTTTTGGCCTTTTATTATTATTATTATTTTTTTTTATTGTACTTCAGGTGAAGGCTTACAGAACAAATAATTTCTCATGAACAGTAGTACACATATTGTTTTATAACATTGTTAACAACCCCACAACATGTCAGCCCTCTCCCTTCTTGATAAAACATTTTTAATGTGATTATAATTTCCAAATTTAAGGACAGGGACAATTTGCAGTATTATATCTGTTGCATAAAACAGGTTAGTATGTTTTAAGTAGTTTTCAGTGTGGGAGATCTTTCTTGTGAAGTCAAAAATACTGGAAAAATTACATAACATTTTGATGTTATTTTAAAACCAGTTTAATTTTTTTTATAGCTTCTGCAGAAAACCATCATTACACCTGATTTTGAAAAAAACTACAGTGTCCCACCATACAGAGAATCAAAGTTTCAACTTCAGAAAAAACGCAGAGTAAGTACAGTGACTTTAATAATTTAGAATGTTTAGGTGCATTTGACTATGTTTTTTCAATTTATACAACATTGTTGTACAATTAAAATATCATGTATGTATTTTTATGTATATAAAGTATATATTTGTATACTATTTAAATGTATGTATGTTTCCAGAGAAAATTATCACAGGTATTTAAGGACCCATAAAATACGGTTCCATAAACATTTTTTATGGATTTTCTCATCTTTACGGCTCGCTTGTAGACTGTTGTAGTGAACTTAGTAATGTAGCCAGCTAAAAACCCTGGTCTATTTAGTTTGCCAAATGAGAGGATAGAGCCCATTTTCTTTAGTAAAATATAGAAGATCACTTCCATCTGCCATCTTAACTATCAAGCATAAAGAAGATATCCAGACTATGGTACTCCATTAATGTCACTAATATGGAGTGCCCTGTACACTACCTGGCACTTGGTAGACACCCAATAAATATTTATCGTATGAATCGAAGAATAAATAACTTTCAGCTCTACTCTGTAGGTCCTGTAGGGTCACAATGAGTCAGAATCAACTTGACGGCAGTGGGGAAGAGTTCTCACAAGAATAGCAATTTTTGTTTTACTTTAGAAATAACATACATTTCTGCACTTTTGGAGCAAGTGGTTCTCTGAGACACCTGGGAGACTGAATAAAAGTATTAATGTTTACATTTAAGCTCCAGAGGTGAAGATGTCTTTATATATTACCTATTCTGTTGGCTATTTTAGACAATAATAATTGAAGCTGGGGGTTATTCTTCAACCAAATAGGCAATTACTTGCTAAGATACAAAATAAATTTTAAGGAACTCTCATTTATGAAACCGATTGTGCTATACCCAGTTTACCAGAGAAAGCACTTTTCTTTGTGACTTGATTTAATTCCTTTTAGGAGAGATGAAGAATCTAGAGACTAGCACTTTCTGTAAAGTAATCTTATTTGTTTTTAATTCACAAAGTTTTCTATGTGTATAATTTTGGGGGAAGTTAGGTATAATTTATCCTCTTTGCTTACTAGATTTTGAATGTTTATTGTTGAAATCTGAATTTCAGGAAGAGCGACAAAAAACAGCAGGCAATGGCTGGTTTGGTATGAAGGCTCCAGAATTGACAGATGAACTAAAAAATGATCTCAAAGCACTGAAGATGAGAGCTAGCATGGACCCAAAACGGTTTTACAAGAAAAATGATAGAGATGGCTTCCCCAAGTACTTCCAGGTATGAAGCAAAAGAATAATTGTTGATCTGTTGTTGTTTTAGTTTGGAAGGCACTATAGTGATCTTTTTATTTTTTAAATGGATAATTATTTACAATGCATACATCTAAAGTGTAGACCTTATGTGCTTAGGCCATATAATAATGGCCAGAACCCAAGTCAGACTGCCACCAGCTTATATTAAGTTTCCATTTAGAAGGACAATGTTAACAAATGGTAACTGGGGTCAGCACTGTAAAACTTACTGAACCTGTACGGTGGTTGTACCACACACGAATAGTACTAGTCTGGGAGCAAGAACCCATGCAGGAAGGAAGGGGAGAGGGAATCATTTGCACCAGTCCCTTCTTCTTTTCAGGGTATTGGAACATCCCCAGGCAGATTCTGGAAATAGTTAAAAAGTTGGTTATCAAAGTGTTTTTAGCTGAAAGTCCAGTGGATGCATCCTCTGGTAGCTCTTAAATTCCTGTCATTCTTCTGACTGTTTTTTTGTCATTCATTTGGATGACCATGATAGTCCTTTGCTCTCCCTTCAAATCCATCTTCCACCTTGTAGCCAGTCTTCTGTTTTGTTTTTGTTTTTTTTTCTTGAACCTGTTCATGTTACACCTCTGCTCAGAAACTTTCAGTGATTCTTTATGACCTGCAGGATACAGTCTGTGCCCGTTAATGTGACCCTTTACAGTCTGCACCCAACCCAGGTCACCAGCCCTTCTTTTGTCATATATCCCTCTTAAGCTGCAACATTGTCGGCTTACTCAGTCTTCTCAGAACATGCACATACAAGTCTTTGCATTCTTTGACTTTGCATCTGCTTGACTCTCCCTTGTTTACCTTATTTGATTGGTAAAATTTTACTCATCCAAATCCAAGCTAAAATGTCATCCTTTATCAAACCTTCTTGCTTCTCTTAGGTAGAGTTGGTTACTTAGTCTTCAGAGCATCTGTGGTGCTTTGTTTAGCATATATTATGTTGTACGTTAATTTTTTGGTTACCTGTCGATCTTCCTTAAGACTAGACTCGTCCTCCCTGGCAGGAACCAGTTCTTTTCTTTGTTTTCCTTACACTTAGCACAATGCCTGGCACATACTAGGTACTCTGTAAATTTTAATCAGTTGAATATGTGGACAAATGCAGAGTCGTCACTAAGTAGATTCTAATCTGGCAGCATTTATGATAACCTGGGAGATAAAATAGGGTGGTAGAGTTTATGTGCATTTCATTGAGTTGGGAAGCTAAGCAAAAAAGAGTTTAAATTATCTTTCTTACTTTTCTTTTCTAGTTATACTATTTATCAGGATTTACTGTACTGTTCAGTATTATATAAAAGGAATCTTGAGTTTGCTATATACTTGAAGAACTATCACTAGTAGATCCAATGTGCTGATTGGATAGGTGATTTATTTTTGCTTAAAAAAAGCATAAAAACTAAATTTAACACTGGTAAGCTTGTGTTTTCCATTCCTTTCTGTACATATACTTTGTTAAAGCTACCCTGAAATATGAAAGCAGCTTGGCATCCAAGTATCACATGATTTATTTCAATCAATTTTTCATAGATTGGAACCATTGTTGACAATCCAGCTGACTTCTACCATTCACGAATTCCCAAGAAGGAACGGAAAAGAACTATTGTGGAAGAACTGCTGGCTGATTCTGAGTTCAGAAGGTAGGGAATTTATTTTTTATTATATAACATGTATGCTTAAAAATATGCACACTTAAAATTTTAGATAATTGTAAATGCTTTAGGCCAGAGTTTCTCAGCACTATCTCAATTATTGACATTTTGGATCAGATAATTCTTTGTTAGGGGAGACTGTCCTGTGTCGGATGTTTACATCCTGGCCTTTATATGCCAATAACACATACCTCCCACCGCCAGTCGTGACAATCAAAAATGTCTTCAGACATTTCCAAATGTCCCCCGGGGGACAGAAGCCAGTGGCAGGGGTACCTGATCTTGTTGTTGTGGGTGGGGGCATTGTGATGGGCTCGCTGCCAGGTTTGTCTGTGGGCACCACATGCTGGACCACGGACATATATGCGGTTGGACATTGCCCAGATACGTTATGCGATGCATGACTGTATGTTTAAAAGTCCTTGAAGCCGCTGAATATGTGTATTAGAGAGATTTAAAAGCATGCCTCATATAGATGTCTGCTGGCCTTCTAATTGATTTAATACCAATGAAAATACTTATCAAGGATTTTAAGTATATTAGTTTGTATCACATGGAAAACATATTTAATTCAGGTTATGGAAGCTATTTAATGAGTCTGGGTAATGGTAAAAATTTTAGAAATACACAATCCTCCTATCCTCAGTATGTATTCTTTCCTTGGAAATCTCACCGTCATGGGGCTTTAATTATAATCTAGATACTGTTGAGTTGCAAATGTATGTCTCTAGTCCAAATCTCTCCTGAGTCCAGACACACATATCCAGCTGCCTCTCAGGAACATCTAATGCGTGTCTCAGAAGCACCTCAGGCTCAGCATATCTAAGAGCTAACTCGTGATCTCTCCTGACCTGTCCTCCCTGTAGCGAAACCTGGTCCTCTCTCAGTGCTTTGTATCTCCGTGAGTTAACGGCGCCACCATCCATTCTTTAGGGCAAGTCTTTGACACCACTTCTTCCTTAAATCCCATATTCAGACTGTCACAGAGTCCCTCCAGGTTTCCTAAACATTTCTCAGGCCTCTCTCTTTCTGTCCATTACGATAGAGGTGTGGTGCAAGCTGACTGATGAGTCTTTGCTTACCTACGTGTTGAGCATATGTTGTAAACAAAAATTGCTGTACATTCTGTAATCTTTGATGATTAGCATTCTCACAAACCCACAGCAGTGTTGATAGTGCTTTCATCAAAAAATAATCTTAGAATAAGGGTCTTGTTCCTGGACCATATTTTGAAAACCACTAGTGTATGTTATGTTTGTTAAGATTCTAAGAAATATATATCATGTATTTTCAGCTAAGTGTAAACTTTTTGTTTTGCTTGGTCCTTATTTTTACATTTTTGTTCCACAAAAATGTTTAAGGCATTATATAGCATCTGGCAGCTCTGTTGTTCAGCGGAGATAGTACACGGCCCTCTAATGGCTGAAAGTTTTCAGAAGTTCTGCCATTATAGTTGCCATTTTTTTCCCACTAAACTGCAGGCTCCATGAGAGCAGGAACTGTAGCTGTCTTGTCCACTACTGTCTCCTCAACTTCTAGTATGGCTCCTGACACACAGTGGCAACTTAATACATATGTGATGAAATAGATAATAAAAATACAAAAAATTTTGAGATTTAAAAGCTCCCAGAAAGGTCATATTGACTTCTTCCTAATGTCTGATGTGTCATACTTTAAAGCTTAAAGGTTTGATTTTTTCCCCTGCAGATATAATCGAAGGAAATACTCAGAAATCATGGCTGAAAAAGCAGCAAATGCGGCAGGAAAGAAGTTTCGAAAGAAGAAGAAATTTCGCAATTAAGATTCACCAAGCAAACCACAGTATTTTATGTCTCCCCTTTATTTATTTACTAAAGATGTTTTGAAAACTAACACCATCACATAAAGTAGACTGGCCCTGTTTATAGGGATTTCTGCTTGAAAAAAAGTTACTTGAGAGACTCAATCATGTGATCTGTGGACCAAAAGTAGGTAGGCCTACAAAGGACCCACCCAGGCTTAAGACTTCCAAAGGGAAAGGAACCCCAACCATTTTTAAGATAGTTACCATTTTTGTAAAGTTTTCAACTTTTGGTTAAAGAAAATTAAAAGATACTTAGAAAGTATAAAGTTAGCTGATGTGTTCAAAGAACTTTAAAAAAATATAATCAGAGATATATAAACAATATTGTAATTAATAAGTAGTTTCTTGTGTGTGTGCATGGTGGGGGGAGGTGGTGGACAGGAATTGCCTTGTAGTCAGTTGCAAGATTACATCTAGAAGTTGGTGTGGATGGGATATAGAGTTCTGCTTGCCACCTGTACAGAAGTAGTAGTTGGAACCAAAGGAATGTTAAACGTGTTCTTGGAGCCAATGTATGCTTGCATAAGACCAAAGAACTAAATGAAGCTTGGGAATGTAAGTACGACTTAAAAGATAAAGACCACCTAGAACCTTTGGGTTAAAAGTTGAAGAAGCAGGAAAGCTGTTTTCCTTCTTTGGTAATTGTGAAACAGGAAGACTAACTGATTTTATCCAGATTCAAGGTTGTGTTACAAGGGAAATAGGATTAAATTGATGAATCTCTGACTTGGCCAGGAGGTAAAGTGGTGCATCTTTTCTTGTCTCTGTGGCACAAGTATGCACCTTGTCTAAACTGCCTTTCTGGTACCCAGGCAAAAAGTTGGTCATTTCTATTAATATCAATGCTGCTTGGTTGTAGCTTTCTTTATTATTTGCTGAACCTCTGTTTTTTCAACATAATACTCCCTTGAGATTTTGGTAAATACGAACTCTCATAAAGAATGTGAGTTAATTTACCCTTTACACATTGTTCCAGGAGATGTCAGCAGAACATTGCTTCAACTTATGTGACTGGTGTGAGACACCCAAAGTTGTCATTCATTCTGTATAATTTTCTGCATAGATGATTGAGACCCAGTTATTCTCACGCTCGGGTGTGGGCTAGCTTCTTACCTACCATAGCATTTTTATGCAGTCTTCTGACTTGGGAATGCTAGAGCCAGTTAAATTATTCGGTCCTTCAAAGCCTACAGTGATGACAAAATTGCAATATATATTTTTAAGCAGAAAATCAATTCATGAAATACCAGCTGCCTCAGAGTTTGTTTTAACATTTAGTGTTCTGGGTTTTTTTTTTCCGATTTTAGTATTACAGTGTATTTTTATAGGGAAAATGATTAGTAACCTCTAATTTTTTCCATACAAATCAAAATTAGAGCTTTCTGGATTGGAAAGCAGTGATGTGGAAAGAGTAACACCTAAATTCCAATTTCAGCTTTGTCACTAACCCACCTTAGAGGTCCTTAGAGTATACATTTTTTTTGTTTGTTTGTTTGTTTTAACCAAGATAAGTTTATTTCCTCACAGTTCAAGTAGGCTAAAAGTCCAAATTCAGGGCATCAACTCCAGGGGAAGGCTTTTTCTCTCTGTTGGCCTTCTCTCCTGTGTTCTCCTGGACTAGGAGCTTCTCTGCGCAGGGACTCGGGGTCCAAAGGACGCGCTGTACTCCCGGCACTGCTTTCTTGATGGTCTGAGGTCCCCCCCTAGAGTATACATTTTTGAGTATTCACTTTTAGTCATATATTAACATCCATGCTCTTGGGTTCTATTTTGTTATATGTATTTTCATAAGTTGCTTAAGTAACTTTTGTAACACAACAGAGTTTTTAACAAATGTGTTTACCTCATTCAGTGAAGTAAATTACTCAACTAAAAATCACCTAAAGTCACCTGTATTAGCCTTTATTGTAAGGAATTAAAACTCAGTAATACTAGTTTATGTGTAAGCTTCATCTCAAATGTGACCTTAACAAATTTATTTTTAAAGCCTCAAAACTAATAAATAGTATCTGAAAGTGTAAGTAAAGATAAGAAGGTAAAAAGTGATCCAGAAGAAGTCTAAACTTTTAGCTCAATCTTAACTAGCCTTCTGCAAATATATTAGCCTTCTACAACTATCTGGATATTTGAATAATGGATGGATTTGTCTTTGTTGCTTTTTAAGCAAAGCAACTGTTTAGAAATTTAGGTTTTAGTGACTTTGGCCTGTATCACTAAATTCAGTTCACTTTCCAGAATTATTTTAAGGCTTAATGACTAACGAGTCCTCAACTGAAAAGCATAGTAAAGCGTGCATGGTGCTGATATATTAGGGTGTGCTGATGAAAAAAGGGCCTTCAAAATAACCTAAAAGGCCTGGAAAGATTTCTAAAGGAATGCTGTATTTATATCCCATCTTGTTCCAAAAAGTTTTTAAGACAGTTTATAAAAATGCTTACAACACAACTAGTGTTTTGTTTTTTAAAGTGAGGAAGTCAAGGCTAGGAAAATGATGGAAGATATGAGATGAAGCCACGGTGAAGTTAACACAATGAAACAGATGCTGTGAAAACTGTACAGTGGGTAGGGGTGGGCTCTGGGCTTTCTCATATTTAACACCCGAATCAGTTATGTGTTCAGCATTCACCCATGAGATAAAAACAAACCAGCTGCTCTAGAACACACCATTATTCCTATTGAGACCTGAGAATTTCTCTTGTGGGTCCCCTAACAAGGAGGCCAGACTAGAGGCCATACTTGACTGTCCACAGGATAAATGGCAGTGTTTTTTAAGAGCACTCTAAAAGAAAAGAAAAACTTAGTATAGAAAAGTTTAATAAAACCTTAAATCTGAGAAAAATTCCTGGGCTCTCACTTTTAGAAATAGCAAGTTAGAAGAAAACACGACCATATGGTATTCATCTGGCAGCTGAGCTGGAGGGTCCAAGATACTTCCTTCATATGCTTGTTACCTTGTAACATTTTCTTTAAAAGGTATGACACTTGAAACTTCTCTTCAGTTTAACAGTATAGCATAGAAATTGCCAAAAGAACAAAATATAGCCCACAGACTTTTGTATTTATGTGGCACTGAAGGCTCACGTGGTTAAGCAGGCTTGATGCATAGTATTTGGGAAGTTCTACACCTCCGCATCTGCCTCCTTCCTAGTCATCTCACCTAAGGGAGGAGGAGTTGCCCAAGATATTCATTGGGCTGTAGTTTTACAAACGGACAGTGTCTTGTATTCACAGGTCACTCTTGCTCTTCCAACTGCTGCCACTTAGTAGGGCTTGCCCATCTGGGGGCCGGTCTGCCATTCTCTCTTGCAAGGAAGGTGGGAAATTGGACTCGGGGTTTCCCTGCAGCCTGTCCTTCTCTATTAAGGTAGAGGATGGTGGACGGGGATGATGGGAACATATGCTGTTCCATCACAGCTTACCGGAAAAGTCCTGCAGTGGGATATTAGCAGTCCTGCAATTCAGGCACTCTTCTAGCTCATATAAGTGGTACTTTCTTTCCCATTGGCTACTGTTCCTTGCAGGTACAACCTCCTTGGTCAGGATCACAAAGCAGGAACTGGTAAAGTTCAGGCACCAAAATCCTGGCCTCAAACTCTGTGCAGGGAACTGAAATCCTGAGGTCTTGTTCATTAAGGGAAAAAATGAAACATGGCTATAAAAATATAGTTAGATTTAGTTCCAATTGCCATATGAATTTTAACCATCACATACAGTGAAGAATACTACAAGTGTCTTTGGAACACGTGCCTTGACCTATTTCAATGGTAGGGAAGAAATACGTGCATGTAGTCGTCTACATGAAAAGAGATTTATGTCTGAAGTTTTATTCAGTCTCTCCTCCCTCCTACATCCCCCACCCACACCGCCGATAATTCAGGGAAGTTAAGTAATTTACTACGAAACGAGAACAAAAATAAGACACGCTTACTGTGATTGGAATGTTTTCAATATCTTAGTATATTATCAGTAAGACAGACAGCTGCCCTCGAGTTGACCCCAACTTATGGTGACTTTATGTACAACAGAATGAAACATTGCCTGGTAGTGTGTCATCCTCACAATCACTAGCATGTTTGAATCCAGTGTTGGTGGCTACTGTGCCAATTAATCTCACTGAGAATCTCCCTCATCCCTGTTGGCCTTCTACTTCACCATATATGATGTCTTCCTCTACTGATTGATCCCTCCTGATGATGTGTCCAAAGCAAGTGAGTCTTTGACAGTGTTCTGTTGTGATTCATAAGGCTTTCATTGGCTAATTTTCAGAAGTAGATTGCCAGACTTGCTTCCTAGTCTGTCAGCTCCACTGAAACCTGTCCATCATTGGTGACCCTGCTGGTATTTGAAATACCAGTGGCGTAGCTTCTGGCATCATAGCAACATGCAAGCCACCACAGTATGTCAAACAGACAGGTGGTAGAATATGTATATATTAAAAAAAAGCTGACTGTGAGACAGTAAGTTAGAACAAAGAATGAGCCGTAGCTTAATTCTCTCATGTGAAGCTCATGAAAACCTCAGTTTATTTATCTACAACTTCTGTCCTCCCAACTAAATCTGCCACTTCTCCCAACGTCAGTTGTTGGAGGAGAAAAAAACCTGTTGCTGTCGAGTCAATTCTGACTCATAGCGACCCTATAGAGACCCTATAGGACAGGTTAGAACTGCCCCACAGAGTTTCCAAGGAGCGCCTGGTGGAGTCAAACTGCTGACCTTTTGGTTAGCAGACATAGCTCTTAACCAGTGCGCCACCAGGGTTTCTCTGATTTGGAGGAGAGGGGGTGTGAAATAAAGTGAGACGGAAGGATATTAAACAATGGCCCCATGCCTTTCCCGGGTGCCTGGGTGATTGCCTGACGGACAACTTCATCTCTCTAGACATATTTTACCTGAATACGATCCTTTAGGGTTAATTCTTGGCTTTTCCTTTAGTGAAACCATTATCCAAATTTAGCCAAGGACATTCGCATCAAGATGACCCTACAGTTCCTCAAGCTCAATCTCATCAATTCGGTTATCCTCATTTCCAGTCCACCTCAGCCAATCACTATTCCTTGAAATTGTTCAGTGGTCAAACTCTGATTACTCCAACCTGCTATCCTGTTAGGCCTCCCTCCAGTGCCCTCTAACTCAGCCTTGGCTGCACTTTGAAATCACCTGATGTGGCTTAAAAAATAATGCCTGGGTC